AAGTTGTACCTTTTTTTAAAGCGTAGCAATGTGTTAGAATCGCTCCGTATTCATATGACACATTTTTCTAATGGCTGCATGGGTCCCATCACATGGATGGACTGTCACTGATTTAAACAACACCCCTCCCACCCTACCCCCTGACACACACACACACTCCCAGCTGGGAGACACTGTTGACTGTTAGAAATAATGCCCCTGAGAACATTCTGGTACCTATATCTCATGACCACAGGTGAGTATTCTGTAAAATAAATTCCTAAAGTTGGGATTCCTTAGTCAGGGAAATGCACATTTTTCTTGTTATGGAGATCACTAAATTGCCCTGCAAAGAAGTTGAATCAATTTATAGACCCAGTAGCAGTGCATGAGGATCCTGCTTCTGAGGGCTCTTTTTTTTAAAAGTCTATTACAGTTGACGTTCAATATTATTAGTATATTAGTTTCAGGTGTACAACATAGTGGTATGACTTTGTCTTGTTCATTTCAAACTCATTTGTTTCAAAGCTTTCCTCTTATCCCAAGCTCAGTGGCTATAAGGATGGACTTCGGAGGCTGTGTGTGTGTGTGTGTGTGTGTGTGTCTGTGTGTGTGTGTGTGTGCGTGTGTTGGGGGTAACTTCTCTCTCACACACATCCCCTTCCCTGTGCCTACCCCTCTGGTGTTGGGACAAGGATGAGTGAGCACAAAAAGGAATCTCCCTACTTGATGGCCTGGGGTGATTGGGTTTTGCTGCCCTCTTTCTATTGGTCATCGCCACTTACGTAGCTTATATGCAGCCCACTGTGGACTAGAGAGATGGGTGGCCACCCCAAGAGACCTTGCTGCTTCAGGACTCAATCCCCTGCAGGCCCTCAGGCACGAGTAATTCCTTGTAAGACTTGGTCCCTCTGTTGTCACCAAGCTGGTGACCTCACTCCACATTTCTCTGATGTAAGCAGCCCTGCCCCTATAATACAGTCATCTCCCATGAGTCTCCCCAACCCATATTCCATCTTCCCTCTGTGACCCCAATCTGGGTCCAGCAATATGGTAGAAATGCCCCTAATTCTCAGGGAGTGGAACCTCAAAGGGACAATTATTTCCCTTCTCCGATGGTTGTGCCCCTTTTCCACTTCATTCCTATTCCTTCCCTACCATCGCCCTCATCTCTAAGCTGGTAGGTACCTTAGCATAACCAAGGAACAATATCTTCCTCTTCTTATAGTCACCTAGAAAATTTGTGACCAATTATATTGAGAGCCCCTTCCATAGATTCCAGGGAAGAAGGTCCCTCAGCCCTCCCCTATGGGCCAGTAAGAGAAGAAGATAGACTATCTTCATAGACACTGCACTCCCACTAAACGTGACTTCCTTGTAGTTCCAGTCCCCCCCCCGCCTCGCCAAAAAATGTAAGGCCCACTAAGCCAGATCATCCTCTCTAGCTCTTGGGGCACACAGCATCTCATGCTAACAATTAGGTCTTCTTTGGAGTTAGCCCTAAAGAACTCAACAACTTGGTTCTTAGCAATGCACAATCACATGAGCCTGTTACAGAAGGATGGTGTACAACTTTATGGGCCAACGAGGGAAGACACCCAGAGTATATGAAGGGGGAAACTCGGGTTCTTTAACAACATGCCCAGTATGAACCGAAATATGCACGTTTTTATGCATCTAAGTGTACACATGGACATAAAAGGAAGTTGACCGCATAAAATGCTGATAACGGTTATGATTGAGATTATAGGCTGTTCTTCCCAATAGATCTATCCACCCACCTATCCTTGTGTACAGTCTGAATTGTCTACAAAGGCCAGCAGGGGATGTAGAAGATGCTATGTCCATTAGGCCAAAGCTCTCATCAAAGTGAAAGCCAGTGAGAAAGACGGTCATGGATCAAGAGCAGTGCACACAAAGCTGTCTGCCCACCCACCAAGTGAAACAGAAACTTGACCTTCATGCAACAGGGGAAGAAAGTGGAGCCAACGGCCCTGGCTGGGTGGCTCAGTTGGTTGGAGCAGCGCCCTACACACCAACAGTTCTCGGGTTCGATTCCCAGTCAGGGCACATCCCTAGATTATGGGTTTCATCCCCAGTTGGGGCATGTAGTACAAGAAACAACTCTCACACTGATGTTTCTCTCTCCCCCTCTCAACCTTCCTCTCTCTAAAATCAATAAAAATATATCCCTGGGTGAGGATTAAAAAAAAAAAGTGGATCCAAAGGCCGCCCACATTATCCATCTATCCTGCCTACAGCCCTGTCTTCTGTTGAGGGGCCAACACCCACTCGTGCGGAGGGACTTTGCCAGCAGAGGTAAGGAGGAGACCAGCCAACATGTGGAAAAAGTGGGCAATAGCCAGACAGCTCCTCCCATTATTAACGGAGGGAGAGAAGAAGAAGAAGGGCCAAGAGCATTCACACACCAGATAATCATGCTCCGAACGTTAGAAGCTCAGCTAAATGCACTTCTTGATGCCAGCTCTTCAAAAGTTACCTGCCCTTATTTTTTAGATGAGACAAACTACATTTCCACATGGTCTTGAAATCCAGGAAGTTCAGGGGAAGGGCAACTCCTATCACCAAACCTTCAATTCTAACAGCAGGCAGAGATTTAAGCAAATTCTTTCCCCCTGAAGTATTTCCTAAGTCAAAAGTCCAACCATTATTACTAGTTGCAACATTTCCAACCTGCTTCCATGCTCGAGAGAAATGGTCCCCCCCCCACACACACACAAGATTCAGTGAAAGGGCTTTAAGTAATAACCATCAATGTTAGAATAGAACTGTGCATCCCAATGCCAAGTTTAAACACACTCCCCACCTCAACTTAAAGACTAAAGCCAGCATGCCACTTGTGGAAACACAGAAATTTCTAAATGGGTGATGAAGGTGGGCTCTGGTGCTTAGAATCCCAATGCAGGGGGCCGCCAGCTATAGGGGTTTGCTAGGACCGCCGTAACAAAAACATAGGCAGGCTTGACCAACAGAAACGAAGTTCCTCACAGCTCTGCAGATTGGGAGTCCAAGGCCAAGGTGCCATCAGGGTTGGAGTCTGGTGAGAGCTCTCCCCTTAGGCAGCGGACGGCTACGTTCTTGCTGTGGACTCGCCTCTGTCTCCTCCAAGTGCGCACCCATGGTGAGCCCACAAGCGCTCAGGTGTCTCTTTTTTTAAAAGCCTCACCCAAAGACATGACTAGAGAAAGGAAGAGAGAGAGGTCCATTGTCTTCTGTACTGGGAATCGAACTGGCAACCTTTCAGTGCACAGGATGACGCTCAACCAACTGAGCCACACCGGCCGGGCTCCAGTGTGAAAACCCGCTCTGTGCACGAAAAACATCACCCTTTGACCAAGTGTAGAACTTACACTCAAGGAAATAGAGCTCATACACTGAGCTGAACTGAATAATTAACACTCTCCTGGAGATGCAAGATTCCCATGTAGCAGATGTTGTGAATGATTTTTTAAAAAAATTGGTAATTGAAAAAAAATGTCACCATATAGGCTGAACAGTAGAATAGGTTGCCAAAAGAGCCTATTTGTAAGTTGTTAAAAATCAAGCCAGAGGAATTTGCCAGAAAGTAGCTGAGATTTTTTAATTATGAAATAAAATTTAAGAGATGTGGAATATCAATTGGGCTTTGCCAGAATTAAAAAAACTTCTATCTTTAAAAGACATGGTTAGGAGAATGAAAATATAAGCTTAGACTCTGAAAACAAATATTTGCAAAGCAGATATCAATTAAGAGACTTTGTATCCAATATATATGTAAAGAACTCTTAAAACTCAATGATAAGAAACATCTCAATTAAAAATATGCAAAACATTTGAACAAATACTTAACTAAAGAAGGCATGTAGATGGTAAACAAGCACAAAACACATACGGAATATTATTGGTTGTGAGGGAAACACAAATTGAAACCATAAGAAAATCTGATACCACTACTTACCTGTTAAGATGGCAGAAATGAGAAAGCCTGACTATTCCAAGTGCTGGCGAGGAGGCGGGGGAACTCTCATTCACTGCTGGTGGGAATGCAAAATGGTGCAACCACTTTGGAAAACAGTTTACAAACTAGACATATAGCTAGCATATGATCTAGCCATTCCACTCTTCGGTCTTTATCTAAGAGAAAAGAAAGCATATGTCATACAAACACTTGACCACCAATGTCATTGCAACTTTATTTGTAATAGCCCCAAACTGGGAACAACCTAAAAGACCATCTATAGATGAATAGAGGAACAAATTGTGGCATATTCATACAAGGGGAATTCTATTCAGTAATATAACACAACAAACATGGAATAACATGAATAAATCTCAAAATCATTATTGCTGAGTAAAAGGAGACAGGCAAAAAAAAAGAATACATATGATTCCATTTATAGAAAACTCTCGAAAATGTAATCCGTAGTGACAGAAAGCACACGGAAACCCCTTCCCGTTTTCCAACGTTATTATGGATCAAAACCACATTTTGTCTCATTGCTAGAGTGAGAGTCAGACATGGTGTCAATGGTTGTCTGAGATCAAGGGTGAGAGGGACAGCGGGGAGGAATTGCAAAGAGGCAGGAGAAAACTTTTGGGAGTAATGCATATGTTCTCTATCCTCATTATGGTGATGGTTTCACTGGTATAGACATATGGCAAAACTTACCAAGTTCATGGCTTAAATACATACAGCTATTGTACATCAATGCTTCTTCAATAAGACTGTTATTGTGTTCATAGAGGTCAGTGTTTCTAAAATTTATTTGACCATCACTCTTATTTTTTTAAATATGTTTTTATTGATTTCAGAGAGAGGGAGAGGGAAAGATAGAAACGTCAATGATGAGAGAGAGTCATCAATTGGCTGCCGCTTGCACGCCCCCCACTGGGGAACGAGCCTGCTACCTGGGCATGTGCCCTGACCGGGAATCGAACTGGTGACGCCCTGATTCATAGGTTGTCACTCAACCACTGAGCCACACCAGCCGGGCTGACCATGACCCACGTTCCCTGCTCACCTGTTGCCCCAGTTTGCAGAGCCGTGTCATGCATACGCAATGAGACAGACCTAGCGCTGATCCACTTCATGCTGGCTCAGGGCCCTTCAGGAAGCGATTTACACTTTCAGAGCCTCGGTGTTCTCATCTGTAAAATGGACCTGTGGCCAGGATTAAAGCAATGAATGCCTGCCACATAGAAGGTTCTTAAAATCTTTAGTCCCCTCACTGCCCCAGAAATCAACCCAGCCATTTTTATTGTTTTCCCCATTGCACGAACTTTATTTTTAACTAACGAATCCAGCGTTCAGTCATCTTGGGCCCAAGGGTCCGAGGGGAAAGACGTTGAAATGCTCAGCACTACCCTGCGGGCCCATCTGCTCTGCATTAGCCGGCCTTCCTCTGTTTATTATTCCTGGTGTTAAATCTCCTCCAATTCTTGTGTGAAAAGTTCGGACACACACAATAACCGCTTTATCACGTTTTCCAAACCGGGGCCTGCTTGGGAACGTTCACACCTTCTGCTTGTTGCCATTGTCTTCGTGTGGACTCGGGTTTCTGAAAAGGGCAGTGGGAGCGCTTCACTGAAAACACTCGTGTGTAAGCTGGATGCAGACGAAAAGCATCAAAGGACGGAAAGGAGACGTCGTTGGAACGAGAACCTCCCACACGGCTCTGTGTCGGCACCGAGGCTCCAGCTGGTCAGCCCCTCCCTCAGCCTCTCTTCTTTGGGGGTACAAATGGAATAATACCCCCCAAAAGATAAACAGAAGCATGTCCATGTTCGGGTCTAGAATAAAAAGCGCACATCCCTCTGTGAAATACATACAGCCTAACAACAATACTGGTTACCACTCATTGAGTCTTATTTGTGTGCCATGTTTCGCTAAGTGCTATTTCATTCAGACCTCCCTGTTGTAGTAACATATAGAAATGTTTAAAAATACCTAAAAATGTTTTAAAAGGTTTCAAAATGTTTTAAAATATTTGAGTTAACTTTCCTGAAACCTAAAGCGTGATAGTAAGGACACATACCCCACTACCCTGAGCGTGTGTATCCCATAGATAAGGATTTGAACTTCGATTACTGACTTAGAGTGACTTGCTATGATAGATAGATGTTCACCTCTGTAATTGCTGATTAACACTTGTAGCCCTGACATAATTATAAGATAAACACCTGGACTGCTGTGGGAACGAACAGGCTATAAAAACAGATCCCCAAAGAGACCTCTTCGATCATTGCTTGATCGCTGGACGCGCTGCCGTCGCTGATCACTCTGAGCACTGCACTAGTGGCTGATCGCTGGACTGCCTTTGGCATCGCTGATCGCCCCTGGTCTGGGTGCTGCCTCCACAGCTCAGTGCCAATTGAGACGGGCGCTCCGAACCTCTGGATCTCAGATGCCCACACCTCTTTCCGCACCCTTGCTCCTGCCAGACGACAGAAGACGGCCAGTACACCCGTCCGGCTCACACACCGAGACCCGGGCTGGAACGCCGTGAAGAAACTGGTCCTGACCAGACCCTGCCAGCCGAGATGGCGCCACAGCTGCTGCGAGAGGAACCTCAACATCACTGGGATCCCGTTAAGTCTGTACCCACAGCACCAGGAATTTGTGTGAGTAATAAAGTGCTGTGTGATTTGCAACTGCATAATTTTGTGTGGCATAATTCCTCCAGCAGTCTCTATAAAATTACGTGTTTTAATTATAAGGCCAGATGATGATGCCTACCCTTGGTCCTGCCTGCTGAGTAGTCTCTTTGCTGGCAACTACTTGATATGTCCGAACGCCTGCATGATTAAGTTTATCCGAAGGGATGCCTTGGATAACACCCCTCCTTTCTCGGACAATTGGCACAGTCAGCAGTCGAACTGGGTATTTGACTCCATTGGATTTTCTAAATTATCCTATATAATAAAAGGCTAATATGCAAATCGACCGAACACAGAACTACTGGTCGCTATGATGCACACTGACCACCAGGGGGCAGATGCTCAACACAGGAGCTGCCCCCTGGTGGTCAGTGCGCTCCCACAGAGGGAGCACTGCTCAGCCAGAAGCCAGGCTCACAGTAGGCAAGCACAGAGGCGGTGGCAGGAGCCTCTCCCACCTCCACGGCAGCGCTAAGGATGTCCGACATCCCCCTAGGGCTCCCGGACTGTGAAAGGGCTCAGGTTGGGCTGAGAGACCTCTCCCCCCAAGTGCACAAATGTCGTGCACCGGGCATCTAGTAAATTATAAAAAGGACCGAATAACAAAATAACTCCCCAGTGCTGATCACACTAAAAAGGGGGAGATTTACAATAACAACGGAGAAATTACCATATGAAAGGCTGGCTATTAAAGGCTAAACTTATAATACAAAAGAAACTGAAACTAAAAGGTAGGCTTAAATTACAATTTAAATATCCACATAAGGAAAGTTTCTGCCCTTTTGGCAGATACGGAGCAAGAATAAAATGGAGCAAATTAGAACATTTTTTAAGAACTTATTTAAAAAGAAAGATCGTCCTTTTAACACTAGCTCTGGGAGCCCATGGAGGACGACAGAAGAAACTCTTAGGACAAAATATAAAATACCTATAGTAGAAGACATTCAGTGTGATTTAACCGAACCAAGACATATACACCCCATAATAGACAGGGCGAAACCAAAAGAAATTACAGGAATATTATCACAACCAATTGAAAAAGTAGGTGAAGATAGGTTAAAAGGAAAAGATTTAGCAAGAAAAGTTATACAAAAAGTAAAGGCAGACCCAACAATAATCAGAAAAATAAAAGCAAATTAAAACAGAACAGCCAGGAACAGAGGAAACTATTGAGTTCACAGCATACAATAGAAGTGAATTTAATGACCTAAGAAAAATATTTATTAAAGGAGAACTGACTGACGTAGATTGGCTCGTAAAAATCTATGAAACTAGGGGAAATACCACTTTACTTTCAAAAGAAGAGTTTAAGGCAGTCATAGATGCCACTGAAAATTCTAAAATCCAATACCAATTAAAACTATTAGTAGATGAACCAGAGGATGTAGTGCTGTCATTATGGGAATGGATCAGCAGGGCATGGAAAATAGCATATCCAGTCCTAGATTTAACATCAACAAACTTCTCCTGTAAATGGAACAGCATAAAAGAACTCCAGTCACAACTTAGAGAACTGGTAATACTAATGGGAATATACCAGGAAGGACTAGGATCCCCATGGGAAAGTAGAAATGTATCAGGAATCATTAAGACCTTAATATTAGGAGCCCCGATGAGTATAAAATACAATTACAAACTCTCGTTAGATCAGCAAATAATTCTGCGGAGGAAATTAGAAACAAGATACAGCTACATGAAGATATTGTAAGTACTAGACAATTTTCCTTCGCTACAAAGGAAGGCTTAAGACCAGAAACTTTTACATATCAGACAGTGCCTAACTTAAATAGAAACCCCAGAGGTAGATTTTATCAAAATCTAACTCACAACAATATATACGTACCAGTAATGATAAGAACTCATATAGAGGCCCATTCAGATCACAGAATAATTTTAAAGAAAAATCACAGTCATCAAATTACTTAAAAAACCAGGCACAGCCCTAACCGTTTTGGCTCAGTGGATAGAGTGTCAGCCTGCGGACTGAAAGGTCCCAGGTTTGATTCCAGTCAAGCGCATGTACCTTGGTTGCAGGCACATCCCCAGTAGGGAGTTGATGGATGTTTCTAACTCTCTATCCCTCTCCCTCTCCCTTCCTCTCTGTAAAAATATCAATAAAATGTATTTTAAAAAAAACAGGCACAATACTGGGGAAGCAATAATCCATTTAGGGAGAATTACAAAGACAGATACAAACAGGAGAGCAATCCTTTCAAACAAACACTAGCACAAGAAAACCCTCAGGATTCCCTAGACAACAGAATACTGACCCTTTCCTACAAGGAAATGCCAAACAGGGAAACTCCAGAGCCCCCTGCTGGAAGAATCAGCAACAAAGGGGAGGTGGGGGGCATTTACAATTTTAAAGGACACAGTGCCATCATGTGGCCTGTGGACAAACTACATACTATAAGATAACAGGCCATACATTACCTTACAAGTACTCTTTCAGGACAGCAAGGAACAGCTTCATACATCTTTCCTTATAGATACAGGATCCCAAGTAACTTTATTAAAAGGAAATTATCAATTGAATAATAAAATATCCATAGAAGGAATCACAAAAAATTCAATTACTGCATCAGGAAGACGAGGGACAATCCTTTACAAAGGATTAAAAATCTCAACAACCTTCTACGTACACCCCTCACTCGAAAATCTTTTAGGCATGGATCCTTTACCAAATTTAATTGATATAATAGAAAAATCCCCAAGGCTACATTCCAATCCAAACTGACAGCGGTCAATATACTACCCATTACACTACCAGAACCTTTTAAGGCTTCATTTACACCACGATACCCCCTTAAAGGAGGCCATCAAGAAATAACACAGGCAATTGAGAAACTTCTAAAGGAAGATATTATTGAAATAGGCAGATCTCATATATACAATAGCCCAATTTGGCCAGTTAAAAAAAACCTAATGGCACTTATAGAATTACTATCGATTATAGGAACCTAAATAAATGCTCGCCCACTATGGATGTCACACTCCCAGATGCGAGCAAGGTCATTAATATAATTCAAAGAGATAACCCAAAATTTATGGCAGCAATTGATTTATCTGATATGTTTTTCGCAATACCAATTCAGGAAAGTTAACTCAAACATTTTAAAACATTTTTAGACATTTTTTAAAAACATTTCTGTATGTTACTACAACACTCACAGCAAACTGTGAGTTAGGTATAGAGTCAGGGAGGTCTCTTTAAGTCACAAGTGATAGACAATGCACCTTAAACTGATTCAGAACATAAAAGAGCACAAACCCTGTGCAATTTCTCGGATTCTCTCCTTCACCCACAGTCCCAGGAACCTACCCTCAAGACATCCTTCACAGAACATGACCACACATACATGCAGTGCAGCCTTATTTTAATAGCAAAAGACCACAGGTAACTCAAATGCTCATCAGTAGGGGGTCTGGTTGCATGGATTACATTCATACAATGAAATTTCTTTTTTTATTTTCTATTTTTTATTGAATTTATTCCCGATCTCTGGGAATAGGGCAGGCATCCACCTTTTTTGCTGTCCTCCCCACTGCGCAGTACTCAGCATGTGGGCAGACGGTAACTCTTGGCCTGTTGGCGGTTAGGCACATAACCTAACCCCCAGAGACCCTGAGGTCCACCCCTCTGGGCGAGGAGCAAAGCAGACCGGCCGGTGTGCCCATTGGTCAGGGGATCATGGGTGTGTGGCCCTGCTAACAAGGGGGAAATGGTCATACAAACAAGGGGGTGGGGCATGTGAACAGGAATGAGGGGTCAGATGAGGCCAGAGATGCCCCTGGTGGGGCAGACTCTAAATAGCAGCCAGAAGTTCCCTGCTCTCAGGAACAAGAGGTTGTCTGTGAACCTGGCAGCAGGCTTGCCCTCAGGGCACGGCGACCAGTAAGGTACTCTGGTGGGGGGAGGACAGCGCTCTTGGAAGGGACGAGGGGTTTAAGGGTCCCAACACAGCTGTTTCTCTGAGATCAAAGGCAATAGGCAGGGCTGTTAGGGTCCCAGGATAGTCCATTGAGAGATGCTCCGATGGTGGGCACCCTTGAGGCACCTGGCCACATCGGCACACATGGCTGTCTTGAGGGGGCCTGGCATCCACCTTCCTTGCCGTTCTCCCCGCTGTGCAGTAGTCAGCATGTGGGCAGATGTGACTATGGGGCTTTAGGCACGTAACCCCAACCCCAAGAGAAGGGGA